GTGTTGGGTCCCTCTTTGGCCGTCTGGTGGCCAGCTGGGGGCCCTCGCGGAGCCCTTTTGGGCCGTCTGGGGCCCTTAGATGAAGCGGTGTGAGTCTCGTGGCCGTCCTGGAGCACGCTTGGCGCCGTCTTGGGCTGTCCCTGGGCCATGTTGGTCTGGCTTGGGACCCTCTTGGGTCGTCTGTGGGTCAGCTTGGGGCTCTCGCGGGGCTGTCTTGGAAATATTCGGTTGCCAAGACGAAATGCGGTAATGGTAAAGCCGTCAGATACCGAAACCTACTCAATGAGTTTGTCTTCTCTGGCGCCTCTTCGGGGCTCTCTGGGATCGCTCCAGGCGGGATAGGGGCCTGCAACGCAATGTTGGAGCCTCATTGGTGCGTCATGCAATCCACTCGGGCCGTCGTCCTGGCGAGTGGGGCCGCATTGGGGGCCATCTTGCCGCACTCGGAAGCGATCTCAGTGCCCTAAACAGCGGGGCACAGCCATCTCCTGTCGGAGAACCCGCCCAAGATACATTCACAATGCGTTTGGCCAAGACAAGAACCCTTTCCGAAGACTGGTTGCACAATTCAGAGGCGGTGCCGTACAGCACGAAGGCGTTTCCAGCGAGCACCTCACTTTGGGAACGAGCTGCCCTGCTTCAGTGCAACTGTGGAAGCGTTTGGGGGAAGCGTGTGCGGCGCGAGGGCGAGAGCCACATTTGAAGTCAAGCAAGTGGGAACTTTCAAATACTGCGACTACTACAACTACTGCTACGACGGCGACGACGACGACGACGCCGCCTACTACTACTCTTACTACTACTACTACTACTACTACTACTACTACTACTACTACTACTACTACTACTACTACTACTACTACTACTACTACTACTACACTACTACTACTACTACTACTACTACTACTACTACTACTACTACTACTACTACTACTACTACTACTACTACTACTACTACTACTACTACTACTACTACTGCTACTGGTGATACTACTACGACTATGACTACTACGACTGCGACTACTACTACTTCTACGGCTACTACGACTACTGCTACTACTACTACTACTACTACTACTACGACTACTACGACTACGACTACTACTACTACTACTACTACCTACTACGACTACTACGACTACGACTACTACTACTACTACTACTACTACTACTACTACGACTACTACTACGACGGCTACGACAACTACGACTACGACTGGTACTACGGCTACAGCTTCAGCCACTACTATAGCTACGGCGACTACTGTTACTACCACTACTGCTACTACTACTACTACTACTACTACTACTACTACTGCTACAACTACTACTACTACTACTGCGACTATTACTACTACTACTACTACTACTACTACTACTGTTACTACTACTACTACTACTACTACTACTACTACTACTACTACTACTACTACTACTACTACTACTACGACTACTACTACTACTACTACTACTACTACTACTACTACTACTACTACTACGACCACTACTAGTATCACTACCATTACGACGATTACTGCTACAAATACCTCTTACTGGAGGCCATCCTGGGGCCATTGGAAGGCCATCGGAAACTAAACATCGCCTAGGCAAAGATCCCTGCACAACCTTCCTTGCTGTTTCTGATTATCCGGACCGTCTCGGCGCTTTTCGGGGTGTCTTGGGGGCATGGCAGAGGCGGGATTTCGGAAGCAATCTTGGGGGGTCGCGCCACCCCGTCAAAACCCCTTGGGAAAAGGCGTTGAGGACGGGTTCAGTGGGGACACGGGTTTGCTCCTTCGAGCCGGATCTTGCCGCAACGAGCGAGCGAGGATGACGACGGAGGAGCATGGGGTGAGGAGGTGAGGAAGAAGAGGAAAGGAAGGAACAAACAGGGGAGAGGACGATGACGAGGAGGAGAAGAAGGCGAGAAGCAGGGGGGGAACGGAGAGGAGGAATGGAAAGCATGACGCCCTCTGGAGGCGCCATGGGGCCACCTTGAGGCCTTGGAAAGCTATAGGGCAAGAACAATAAAACTCTTTACGAAGCCCTCCTTTCGGTTTGTGGAAGCATGTGGCATCTTAGATGTACATCGAAGGTGCCTGCGGCGAATCACCGCCGTCCCCTGCCTTCTAGACTCGCCCATGTGGCCGAGCGTTGTGGCAAGAGCTCCGCCAAGCTATTGGACCATGTGTTCCCCCAACCGTTGTGGAAACTCTTCGGGGAACACTTGGGGGAGGATGGCGGGGAAGAGCAGGAGGAGGCGGAGAAGGAGGATGGGGGAGGAGGAGGAGGAGGATGAGGAGGAGGAGGAGGAGGGGGCATCTCGGCAGCCTACGGGGACACTCTTGGGGCCTCCTGGGAGCTTCCTGGGAGCCTCTTGGAAGCATCCTTGGGCCTCTTGGAGGCCTTTGGGGGTTTCTTGGGGGCCTCTTTAGCCGTCTTCGTGGGCTCCTGGCACGTCTGACAATGTCGGAAGCCGTCTTGGGGGACTCTCTGGGCCCTCTTGGGGTCCTCTTGGGGTGCTCCAGGGCAGTCTTGGAGGCCATCTTGGGCGTCTTGGAGGCTCTTGGGCCCTCTTGGGGCCCTCTTAGGGCCATCTTGGGGGCCTCTTCGGCCGTTCTGAGGACATCCTAGAGGCCTCTTGGGCGATCTTGGGGCGATCTTCTGGGGCTCTTGGGCCGTCTCGGGCCGTCGGTAAGCCGAAAAAAAACTAAATGCCAAAGTCCTTCAACAACCAACGGAAGATCAATGACTTGGGCCTCTTCGGGCCTTCCTGGAGGCCCTCTTGGAGGCCTCTTGGGCCGCACTGGGCCATCTTAGAGCCATCTTGGGCCGTCCTGGTGGGCGCCTGGCCCGTCTGGCGCCGTCGGAAGCCGTGTTGGGGGCCTCTCTGAGCCGACTTGGGGCCCTCTTGGAATGCTCCAGGGCCGTCTTTGAAGCTCTATTGGGTGTGTTAGAAGCCTCTTGGGCCGTCTTTGGGCCCTCTTGGGGCCGTCTTGGGGGCCTCTCTTGGGCGATCTTTAGGGCTCTTGGGCCGTCTCGGGCCGTCGGTAGGCCGAAAAGAAATAAATGCCAAAGTCCTTCAAACACCGACGGATGATCAATGATTTGGCTCGACAAGTCGAGAAGCCCAAACATGTTGGAAATACTGAGCCCAAGAGGAATCAAAAGGATCGTTGGCTCTCGGGATCCTCTCGGGCAGGCTCTCGGAGCTGCCCTGGGGCGCGCGTTAGGCCATCTTGGAACCACCTTGGTCTTGGACCGGCCGAGTTGCGATTCGAGACGCCCTTGGGCCCTGCGGGCTCTTGGAGGTTGCTTGGCCCGTCTTGGACCCCTCCTGGCCCCGAGACAAGAATCGCGCGCCACCGCTCGGAGCCCAGGGGATGCGCGCCAAGTCCAAGGAGATGTGAGAGTTTGGGGCGGGCCCGTTCGAAGACTCCTCAAGAGGGAGGACGAGGGCTCAAGGAATCGACCAAGGACACTCCAACTCGCGCTAGGTCGGGCATGTCCTCCTGCAGGGGGGGGGCTGGACGAAAACAACAAATAATAAAGCAACGCCGCACATGACCAACGCAAATGAATATCGGAGCTCCACCGCGCCAAGGGGCATGACTGCGCGAAGCGCCCTGAGTCAAACTGTTGCTGCGAGTGCTGCTTCGCCCAGCGGTCAAGAGAACGAGCGAGCGGGCCAGCTGGCGGCGAGAGCGTCGTGCCTCGAAACTTGAGCCCGAACGGGCAGCGGCGCTCTCCCGCTCACTAGATCATTCACGTGCCGGAACTAATCATGAACCTCGGAGCTCCACCGCGCCAAGGGACATGACTGCGCGAAGCGCCCTGCATCAAACTTTTGCTGCGGGTGCTGCTTCGCCCAGTGATCAAGAGAACGAGCGAGCGGGCCAGCTGGCGGCGAGAGCCGCGCTTGCGGGATCGCGAGGGCGCAGAAGCAAGACCTCGACCCCCCTTGAGGGACAGAGGTCGCACAGGAGAGGTGGCAGTACCGGGGCGGCTGGTGGGCGCCTCGAAACTTGAGCCCGAACGGGCAGCGGCGCTCTCCCACTCGCTAGACCATTCATGTGCAGGCACTAATCGTGAACCTCGGAGCTCCACCGCGCCAAGGGACATGACTGCGCGAAGCACCCTGAATCAAACTTTCGCCGCAGCTTCACCCAGCGATCAAGAGAACGAGCGAGCGGGCCAGCTGGCGGCGAGAGCCGCGCTGGTGTGATCGCGAGGGCGCAGATACAAGACCTCGACCCCTACCCATTCGCCAGAAGCGCCCTGGCCTGGCCACGACAGGACGCGCCAGAGTCTGACAGAGCTCCATGGGATAAGGGCGCGCTCTCGCGGTCCAAAAAACACCGTTTGGGCCTTTTCCCTTTAAAGCAACGTGTCGTTTACCAGTCGCACTGCATCTATCTTGGCTGCTTTCGCATCGTCTGTGCTGCGAATGCACTGGCGGCCAATTGAAGAGGAGAAATGTCGTCGCCTTACGCCGCGGCACCTGATGCTGACAGAAATCCACATGCGCTCACTCTTCTTTGGCATGGCTCGCTATCGAGCGGAGTCCGGCATCGCAGCGGCTCGCGCTGGGCAGTCCCCAGATATCCTCATCACTTCTCAGCGGCGGCGGGCCTCGACCATCCAGCTTTCTGGCTCTCGACCGCGTCTTGCAGTCCAGGCCGACATGGGCGCCCATGATGGCCCCGCTCTGGACGCGGCTCAGAAGCGCGTCGATGACGCCTGGGCTCCGAAGGTCCGCGCCGCAGCCGTCGGCGATGTCCCAGCCCTGCGAAGCCCGCCCAGCGGCGGCGACAGCTCGGGCCAGGCGCGCGGGCACATAAGCTCGACGAAGGGAGCTCGGCGCGACTGCGGCACGGCCCCGCGCCCAAAGATCCGCCGCGGCGGCTCGCCGTCGTCGCCGCTTGCCGCGGACCTCGGCGCGCCGCCTGTAGCCCCCGCGGGGGCCTCTCTCCCTGGCGGGTCGACCCCGGCGCCGTCTCCGGCACCCCGTGGAGCTCGTCGGGCGCCGCGTCGGCCTGCTCGCGGGCGGCGGCGCCCAGCTCGGCGAGCTCCTGCTGCAGCAGCGCGCGCGCCTCGTGCCGCTTCATACCGTAGCCCGAGGCCCAGCGCCCGCGGCCCTTGATCTCGGCGAGAGACCAGATCCGGCACAGGCGGTCGCGCGACGGGCCGCCGCGTCTGAGCTGGTAGGGGGCGCAGTGCCGCCCCGGGCGCACGAGCTGCAGCGCGCGCCGCCAGGGCCGCCCAAGCTCCTTGGAGCCGAAGGGCAGCGTCGTCGGGGCGGCGGCGCGGCACCTCGCCGCCAGCGGGCCCAGCCACGGGACCTCGACCGAGTCCAGGAGGACGCTCTCGTCCGCGAGGCCCCCCTCGGACCGAGGGGCGCAGGTTGGAACCGTAGTGCTTGCGCGAGCCGCTGGGGGGAAGACGTCCTGCTCTCGGTGGCCGAGGGCCTCGCTTGGCCTGAAGTAGGCCCAGAACATCACCACTATCCTGATCGCCACCTCCGGGGCCGCGAGGTCGCGATCGTGCTGGCCAGCAGCGCCGTGACCTGCCAAGGGATTGGCGGCCGCGTCTGCCCTGGATCGAGGCGCCCCCAGCCCTGGGGCGCCCTCGAAAATCGAGGCAGGCGGAGCGACCCCTTTCGGGGGGTGTCTGGGCGCTCCGAGAGCAACGCGGCATAGGTCTTCAGCAAAACGGCCCTCTCGAGCCCTGTGCCCCAGGCGAAGTCGGCGCAGTTCGTCAGCGCCAAGTCGGCGCCCGCGGCGGTCGCGAGCGGGAGGCTGCGAGCAGCTGCGGAACTCTGGAACTCCGCCAGGGCCTCTTGGCAGTTGCACTGGGTCTGCGGGGCCACCGCGTTCCACTCCAGGAAGCCTCTCTCGTCGGGCCCCAGCAAGTGGCAAGGGCCTGAGGTCTCCTGACCCCTCGCGCCCCTCTCCGCCCTGGAGGCGCCGATGAAGGGGCGGCCCTCCAAGAAGTCCTTCCTCGCCAAGCTGCGGCCAGCTACCTCTCCCGCGCTGCCGGGCCGAGGCGGCTTACGGCCCGACCTCGGCCCCCAGCAGCGCGAACCCCCATCGGCCGCGTTGAGCTCTGAGGGGACCCAACGGCGCTCGGGCTTCGAACCACTATCAACGGATAGAGCGGCCTCGCGACGGCAACATATTAGAGGCGCAAAAGCGGCGCACCCTCCATATCCCAAAGCCAGCGCAGTCCGAAAATTACCTAGCAGCTTGAGCGGACGCATCCCCCCAAAAAGGCCCGATTCCTCAAAGTGCGCCTGGGGGTCATGTTCGCGGCCCTCCCCATGGCAATAGCGACGGGCTCCATGACGCGAACCCTGGCCGAGGCAACCTGCTTCTATGCGCCGCCCCGAAGAGCCTCAAGAGGGACCTCGTTGAAGCCGGGGTTGAGCTCCCGGGGGCCCCACTGGCGGTCCCCGTCGGAGATCCTCGGGGCCTTCATGGTGGAGGTGCCCCTGAACGCGTCCAACGGGGGCGGCCCCTCGTCAGCATGGTGGAGACCTCCTGGGCCCAAAGCGGACTGACGTGCTTGAATCGCCGATGACGTCCGACGTCTCCATCTCTCACTGACTGATCCAACATTCTTGACAGGTGAAAGCGGAAGGACTGTTTCGCGAGCGGCCATCCCTGCGAGACAGGCGTCGTGCGCTGTGACCACGGGGCCCCACGGCAGCCCGAGGTCGGCCGCCATGAGCAGAAGCAGGCGACGGAACTGCAAGACTTCGCATTCAGCTGATGGCCGGAGACGGGCGCGCCCGCTGTAATAGTCTCCTACGAAATCGTAGCAAGTTTCTGAGCATACATAACATATCCCTCCTCCACATGATGTGATCTATCATTTGAGGGAGTTTCTGTGGAACTCACGTCATCCTCACCCCCGGTGCGAAGAGCACGAGTCCAGAGCGGCCTCCGGCACCGTTTCCGGACAGATCCGCTGGATCCGGTGGATCCGCCGACGAATCCCAAACCGGCGCCCTCGCTTGAGACATCCTCACAAAACGGGCCCCGGGGGAGATGCCCAGAGGAGCCCAGAGCGGCCTCCAGCACCGTTTCCGGACGGATCCGCTGGATCCGGTGGATCCGCCGACGAATCCCAAACCGGCGCCCTCGCTTGAGACATCCTCGCAAAACCGGCCCCGGGGGGGATGCCCAGAGGAGCCCAGAGCGGCCTCCGGCACCGTTTCCGGACGGATCCGCTGGATCCGCTGGATCCGGTGACGAATCCCAAACCGGCGCCCTCGCCTGAGACATCCTCACAAAACGGGCCCCGGGGGGGATGCCCAGAGGAGCCCAGAGCGGCCTCCGGCACCGTTTCCGGACGGATCCGCTGGATCCGCTGGATCCGGTGACGAATCCCAAACCGGCGCCCTCGCCTGAGACATCCTCACAAAACGGGCCCCGGGGGGGATGCCCAGAGGAGCCCAGAGCGGCCTCCGGCACCGTTTCCGGACGGATCCGTTGGATCCGGTGGATCCGCCGACGAATCCCAAACTGGCGCCCTCGCCTGGGACATCCTCACAAAACGGGCCCCGGGTGAAATGCCCAGAGGAGCCCAGAGCGGCCTCCGGCACCGTTTCCGGGCGGATCCGCTGGATCCGGTGGATCCGCCGACGAATCCCAAACCGGCGCCTTCGCCTGAGACATCCTCACAAAACGGGCCCCGGGGGGGATGCCCAGAGGAGCCCAGAGCGGCCTCCTGCACCGTTTCCGGACGGATCCGCTGGATCCAGTGGATCCGCCGACGAATCCCAAACCGGCGCCCTCGCCTGAGACATCATCACAAAACGGGCCCCGGGGGGGATGCCCAGAGGAGCCCAGAGCGGCCTCCGGCATCGTTTCCGGACCGAAGACCTGACGGCATAACACGTCTGGATATGCCGACGGGGGCGGAGGAGGATGAGGAGAAGGCGGAAGAGGAGGACCAGGGTGCGGGAGGAGGAGGAGGATGACCAGGAGTGGGATGAGGAGGAGGAGGATGAACAGGAGTAGGAGGAGGAGGAGGAGGAGGAGGACGAAGAGGAGAAGGAGGAGGATGCGGTAGGACGATGATGATGATGAGGAGGAGGAGGAGGACGAGGAGGAGGACGAGGAGGAGGAGGAGATTTCTCGGGGCGCGCGATTTTCGCTGACTTCTCGCCGCTGGGTCGCCCCCTCGCGAGCCTCGCCCAGAAGCGCGCGCCCCTTCTTCTCTCGGTCGTTTCCCTCTCGCCCAGAAGCGCGCGCCCCTTCTTCTATATATACAGAAACTCCCGATCAACCGCAGAGCGGCGGATGTTATGTCCAATGAACCGTTCCACCTCCCCCCAGCGACTCGCGGCCGCTGCTCCACCCAGAGCGAGGCCTGACTTGGGCGCTCGGTGCGCTCGGCCAAGGCTGGTGGCGGTCTGTAGCCTCCACCTCCTCATGAATGAGAACTCCATGACGCTTCCGCTGGGTGCATTCAGGATACTGTTGCAGCGAACCGGGTCGGCGCCGATGACGTCGATGTTCTGCGGGCAGCGGATGTCCCCATCGACGGGAGCGGCGGCGAGCGGAAACGCCCGTTCGGCACTCGCGCGTCCCAGACCAACCCCTGGGCCCCGCTCTTCTCGCTGGCGGAGAACGGCGTCGCCAGATCCTTTGGGCGGCAGGTGAAGCCCAACGTGTTCGCCCGCGCCAGGTCCGAGATGAACGGGTGGTAGGCGGCAGGATCGTTCTTCAAGATCTCATCCATGTACGTGGTGATGGGCGGCTTCGAGTCGAGGACCCTCGACCACTTGTCTGGCGTCTTCATCTTCCTGCTCTCGTAGTCGAGCACGTATTTCTTCCCAGTTGGGTCGAGCACCGTCTCGGCCGCAGGCGCGGCCGCATCCACTTCTGGGATCTCAGCGCGGGATCTGACGTGCTTCGCCGCGGGGCTCGGTGCCTCGCCCCCGGCGTAGGACCAGGCTGCTGGCCAGGAGCTACTTGGCGGCTCCACGGCAGGTGTAGCGGACCGAAGACGAGGGCGCCGTCTTGACCCGATGCAGAACTGTGGCGGCAACAAGACAGTGCGCCGCCGCGGCCCCTCCGCGCTGCTCCCGCGGCGGGCGGGGCGCCTTGGGGCCTGCAATCGCGTCATTGGCGAGTTGCTCCGGACGACGCCTGCGAGCCAGCCTCCTCCTCGTAGACATCGAGATTCACCCCGTGGTCGGCTGCGTCGTCTGATAGTGCGGCAGCGGGGAGAGATCGCGCTGGCGATCTGCCGAAGCCCGGGGAGGAGGAACTACTATGGGGGCCGACGTCGAGCGTCGAGTGACGCGACCGCTGTCGGCCCGAAGGCAGCCAGCCGCGGGTCGGCCGACCCCCGCGGCGCGAGGCAATCATTGCCCTGGCCCCCCTGCATGGGCGGGGCCACCCTTGCCGCCGCCGCCCTTGGGGCCGCGGCGCAGCTTCTGCTCCTCCTTCACCTTCCTAGCCTCCTTGAGCACCGCGGCCTCGTCGCGAAGGTTGGCCGCCGCGTGCTTCTGCAGCTGAGGCGCCACCGCTGCTGCCCCGCGATGGGCCGCCCAGCCCATGTACTCGTCCGCCGCCGAGTAGTCTGGCGCCGAGGGCAAGACCGCGCGGGCGCCCTCGATCACCTGCAGGCGGCGGCAGAGGAGCTCGGCTATCTGCAGCGCGGGGGCGTCGAGCAGGTCCACGCCGACCATGGACTCGATCACCCTGCACATCACCTCGCGCTCGCGAATCGAACGGCCCCCGTCGGGGACGCGGCCTGCCCTGAGCCAGTTCGCCCGGTGCGTGACGGGCGCGAGCCCAGCATCTCGTGGGACGCACAAACACACGCTAATGCTATATGTTATCCTTGGAGGCGCGCGTCCGTCCCGAACATATAGTACACCCATATTGTAGCATATCGTTTCCCGAGCGGTTTGGCCAGAAAGCGCCCGCCAAGACGCATAGATTGCAAGATGTATCGGCGCGCACGCGTCGCCCCTGGGTTGGCGACGCACATGTGGTATAAGTATGTTAGGGTGGCGCCGATCTCGCCGCGAGCGGAGCAGCCAGAGGCAGGAGGGCGGCCCATCCAGCATGAGCCCGCCTTCGGGCTCGCCCCCCACCTGAACGCCCACCGCCTCCGTGAAAGGACGACGGCGTGAGCCCTCCTGGCTGAACTTCGCTGGGAGCGCGCGGAGACCGTTGATCACGAACGCATCGATCTCGCCAGCGAGCACCAGCCTGGCCGTCGCGAGACCACCTGCGACAGGCACCAGCGCCGAACCGCCCTCGATCACGCCGTTGGCGGAAAGCGGGTCTGGCAGCCTCTCGCCACGCCTGAGCCCGCGAAAGTCTCCGTGGCGAGCCAGACCGAGTGCGCGACCACCGGGGCGGCGGCATGGGCACCCGCGCGGGCCACCACGCCCGCCTCTCCTCCCTGGCGCGGGGGCGGAGCCGCGGGCTGGGGAGGGGCACCCAGACCAGCGCCGCCTGCAGCTCCCGCAGCGGCTGGCATGACTCCGCCCACCATCAAGGCGCAATCGCGCTGGAGCTGCTCGAGCTCGGCCGCGGTCGGCAACTGCCTGAAACGGTGCACCTGCACGGGGTCGACGCCAGGCGGGGTAGAGCCCTGAGTCCGTGACCAGCGCAGCTCCGCCACATCATCACAGCGAGTGCTCTCAGCGTGATGATCTCCGTCGGCCGTCAGCGTCGAGACGAGCGCAGGGAAGGCCACACTGACCGCGGTGACCAGACGCTTGTGGAAGAGAGGCGGCCCTGGCATATCGTATTTGATCAAGATGTACTCACCTGGCCGCGCCACTGCGGAGCCCCAACAGAGCCACCTGCTGCCTCGCACGCGCCTCGACCGACTCCACCTCCGACGAGCCACGCCTCTGACTGTGAGCAGCTGAGGTGGCCACCGCGCCTGCGACCGCGCCGAGGATGCCGAAGGACACCTTTTCCTCGGTCCATGCTCGCCTCACCGCGAGGCCCGCCACGCCCTCGCAGGGAGGGCAGCTCACGTTGACCAGCGGCGCCGTGCACACGGACGCTGGGCAGAAGGGCGCGGGGCAGGAAATGTTCGCCCGCGGGCATGCCAGCGACACAGGAGGGCAGCTCTGCACCGTCGAGATCACCACCTGGCGCAGAGCCGCCAACTCCAGCCCGCGGATGGCAGCTGACTGGAGGGCTGCAAGGACGGGAGGGCAGGAAACCCCACCGAAGAACTCCTGCCTCGAAGCTTGAGCCCGGACGGGCAGCGGCGCTCTCCCACTCTCTAGAGCCTTCACGTGCAGGCACTAATCATATTGAATCGTCCCCACACTTTTTCCCTACCTAGGCTCTGCCTAGAAGGGTTCTTACTCTCTTAGCTTAAAGGGGCCGGGCAGTGTAAAGCGCCCCGGGCGGTTCCCCCAGTCCCCGCCCCGCGGTTCCCCCCAGTCCCCTGGGAGCTTTAGCTTTAGCTTTAGCTGTAGCTTTAGGCTTAGCTTTAGCTTAGCTTTAGCTTAGCTGTAGCTTAGCTTTAGCTTAGCGTTTCGCTTAGTGTTAGCTTAGATGTAGCTCAGACTTAGCTTAGCTTGAGCTTAGCTGTAGCTTAGCTTTAGCTTAGAATTAGCGTAGCTTTAGCTTAGCTTTAGCTTAGCTTTAGCTTAGCTATAGCTTAGCTTTAGCTTAGCGGTTGCTCAGTTTTAGCTTAGCTGTAGCTTAGATTTAGCTTAGTGTTAGCTTAGCGTTAGCATAGATTTAGCTTAAAATTAGCTTAGCGTTAGCTTTAGATTTAGCTTTAGCTTAGTTTTAGCTTAGCTTTAGCTTAGCTTTAGCTGAGCTGTAGCGTAGCTTTAGCTTAGCGTTTCGCTTAGCTTTTCGCCTAGTGTTTAGCTTAGCTTTAGCTTAGCTTTAGCTTAGCGTTAGCTTAGCTTTAGCTTAGCTGTAGCTTAGCTTTAGCTTAGCTTTAGTTTAGCGTTGGCTTAGCTTTAGTTTAGCTTCAGCGTAGCGTTAGCTTAGCGTTAGCTTAGCTTTAGCTTAGCTTTAGCTTAGCTTCAGCTTAGTGTTCGTTTTAGCTTTAGCTTTAGCTTAGCTTTAGCTTAGCTTTAGCTTAGCTGTAGCTCAGCTGTAGCTCAGCTTTAGCTTAGCTTTAGTTTAGCTTTAGCTTAGCTTAAGCTTATAGTTAGCTTAGTTTTAGCTTAGGTTTAGCTTCGATGTAGCTTAGCTCTAGCTTAGCTTAAGTGTAGATTTAGCTTAGCTTTAGCTTAGCTGTAGCTTAGCTGTAGCTTAGCTTTAGCTTAGCTTTCCTGTTACTACTAATGCTGCTTTCCTAGGGGCTCCAACTCCTAGGTAGAGTCGCACTGAGATATTTTTTTACCTAACAGCGAAGACTGATAGTTTTCTAGTGGGGTCAAAAGACAGCATCCTGATTCCCCAGGGGGGTCTGGGCAGGATCCGGGGGATGCCGGGGAAAACCGGGGACTCCCCAAAACCTTATCCCAGCCCCCATTCTGACTACCCGGAGCCAACAAAACACCATTCCCAGGCCTCATTTTGAATGCCTGGACCCAACTGTAGGCCACTTCGTGTTCTTCGTGTTCCCAGAACACCATTCCCAGACCACATTTTGAATGCCTGGAGCCAACTGTAGGCCACTTCGTGTTTTTCGTCTTCCCAGAACACAATTCCCAGGCCACATTTTGATTGCCGGGAGCCAACTGTACTTCGTGTTCTTCGTGTTACCAGAACACCATTCCCAGGCCACATTTTGAATGCCCGGAGCCAACTGTAGGCCATTTCGTGATCTTCGTGTTCCCAGAACACCATTCCTGTACAATATTTTGATTGCCTGGAGCCAACTGTAGGCCACTTCGTGATCTTCGTGTTCCCAGAACACAAGTCCTGTGCCATATTTTGAATGCCCGAGCTGAGGCAGGCTGAGGCCGAGGCAGGCTGAGGCTGAGGCTGAGGCTGAGGCACGCCGAGGCAGGCTGAGGCTGAGGCTGAGGCAGGCTGAGGCTGAGGCAGGCTGAGGCTGAGGCTGACGCAGGCTGAGGCCGAGGCAGGCTGAGGCTGAGGCTGAGGCAGGCTGAGGCTGAGGCAGGAGGCTGAGGCTGAGGCTGATGAGGCTGAGGCTGAGAGGCTGACGCTGAGGCTGAGGGCAGGCTGAGGCTGAGGCTAGGCCGAGGCAGGCGAGGCTGAGGCTGGCAGCCGAGGCAGGCTGAGGCTGAGGCTGAAGCTGAGGCGAGGCTGAGGCTGAGGCTGTGGCAAGCTGCGGCTGAGGCAGGCTGAGGCTGAGGCTGATGCAGGCTGAGGCTGAGGCAGGCTGAGGCTGAGGCTGAGGCCGAGGCAGGCTGAGGCTGAGGCTGAGGCTGAGCCGAGACAGGCTGAGTCTGAGGCCGAGGCAAGCCGAGGCAGGCTGAGGCTGAGGCTGAGGCTGATGCTGAGGCAGGCTGAGGCTGAGACAGGCTGAGGCTGAGGCTGAGGCAGGCTGAGGCTGAGGCAGACTGAGGCTGAGGCCGAAGCAGGCTCAGACCGAGACAGGCTGAGGCTGAGACTGAGGCTGAGGCTGAGGATGAGGCCGAGGCAGGCCGAAGCTGAGACAAGGTGAGGCTGAATGGGGGGGGAAGGGGGGGGGGAGGAGGGGAGGCTGAGGCAGGCTGAGGCCGAGGCAGGCTGAGGCCGAGGCAGGCTGAGGCTGAGGCTGAGGCAAGCCGAGGCAGGCTGAGGCTGAGGCTGAGGCTGAGGCTGAGGCTGGGGCAGGCTGAGGCTGAGGCAGGCTGAGGCTGAGGCTGACGCAGGCTGAGGCCGAGGCAGGCTGAGGCTGAGGCTGAGGCAGGCTGAGGCTGAGGCCGAGGCAGGCTGAGGCTGAGGCTGAGGCAAGCCGAGGCAGGCTGAGGCTGAGGCTGAAACTGAGGCAGGCTGAGGCATCCGTAGGAATCCATAGGAATCCTTAGGAATCCCTAGGAATCCTTAGGAATCCGTAGGCATCCTTAGGAATCCGTAGGCATAGTTAAGCATCCTCAGGAATCCTTAGGAATCCTTAGGATTCCTCAGGAATCCTTCGGAATCCCTAGGAATCCCTAGGAATCAGGATTCCCAAGGATTCCTAAGGTTTCCTAAGGATTCCTATGGATTCCTAAGGATGCCTAAGGATACCTTAGGAATCCCTAGGAATCCTCAGGATTCCATTGGATCCTAAGGCCGTTGCCACTGCGACTGTCATCGCGAATGCGACTGCGACTGTGAGAACAGCAGCATTCTACAACTGGATTCTCACCTGAATCTCAAGGGGAATGCTTCCAGATATGCTTATACACATCGCTGTTAGGTTGCTTTGTCGGGATAATTTAACTATTCCTGCATACTCCTCCTGTGGAAGGACGTGTCCGACCTAAAACTCGTGCCCGAGGGCACGGTGGCGGATTTGGGAAGTTTTGATTCCAAGGGCCACGGGGCGCAGGCGGGCCCGAAGGAGCGGCGGGGGGCCAGCGGTCAAGCAGTGGCGAGGCGTCCTGGCGTGCCCACGGGCCCGCCAGAGTGCGTGGTCCTTCATGGGGGCCTCCGCGGGTCCCAAGACTTCCTGCGTTTTGGGGGTTCCCGATCTCGTCGGCTTTGGTCGACATCTGGGCGAGAAGGATGCCCAGGGTTGGTCGAAATCTGGACGAAATCCGGTCGAGATCATGTGCATGATAGGGCCGCGGAGGTCCACAGAGGTCTCCGCGAAGGCACACCCAGCACCAACTAAGGTTCTCAGGACCTCTTCCGTGGCTTGCACGGATGTGCTCTCAGAACATTTGTGGCTGGGGCCGTCCTGTTGTAATCTACCGGCTTCATGTTTTGAAAGCATGGTTTCTCGATCATTTCTCTGTTTGAAGGTCGGGAGCGGCCAAGAGGGGGGTGTCCAAGAGGGGGGGGTGCAAATCGTGACCGGCGGCATGTGCGCGGCCTAGCGGGGGGGCCAGGGACGTAATGAAACAAGAAGAGGCGCCATGAAATCTGCGGAGAT